AAGGCGACTCAGCAGCCACTGGGTATGTGTGGATTTACAGGGCTGAAAGGAACCGGGGGGTTGTGGCTCTGTTGCCTGACCTCAGGGCAAACAGTAATTACAGTAATTACTTCCCCCCCCCCCCCCCCGTCAGTGACCCCTCGAAACCTTCAGAGAAGGGGCCGCTCTCACTACCTGTAAATTCTTCTGTGTTTTTGTGATACAACCTTAAATGCTATTATGGCAAAGGTCCCCACACTGAATTTATTTCACTACTTTATCGTCTCACCTAAAAGTTCAGTTCAATTCGCATGTTTTCCACACTTCGTGACCTGGGTGAGCGAGTGAGTGCTCTTCCCCAAATGAGTGCCATATAAATTCCTGCTGGCTACCTCAGCTTGTTCTCAAAGGAGAGCAGATTTCACCTTGCTCTGGGAGCTCTGCTAACGTCGTGCCTAAGGCACTTGACTGCTGACCAGAAGGCTGTAGGTTCAAACCCACCAGCCACTCCTTGGAAAGAAGGTTGGGCAATCTACTTCCGTAGTGATACTGCCGCGGAAACCCAAGGAGGGGTCGCAGTGAGGTGGAAACAGCTCAACAGCAGTGAGCTTGGTTTCTTTGGCTTTGCTCCGGGCGGTGACTTCTTCGAGATCGGATCGGTCCTTCACTCTTTCTCGCCTACCCGTTCACTCCTGCTTAGCTGTGCATTCTGTTTTCCTCATGGATGCGTTGCCCGAGGTGGAGCAGTACAGCGCCCTACAGGGGCCAGGCTGTCCAACTGCTGCTTTGTGTTTCTCTGACAACACTACTTGGCTCATTTAGCTTGGCTTGTGGGCCCACCTGACCCCTGGATTCTTTTCCACTGTAATGAGTCACTCGGGTTGTCATCCATTTGCTGTTTGTGCAGCATGTTTCTTCTCTTGTCCGTTCACCTTTTCCGGAGACGTGCCATTCAGTCTGTTTCTGAACCAAATAGCCTGGACTAGATGGATGCAGAGAGGAGCTCCAGGGGCACAGTCGGTTAGTGTGCGGTACTTATAAATGGATGCAGGGGAAATTTGTAGGGGCTCTGGTGGCATAGTGCCTAAGACACTTGACTGCTAACCAGTAGGCTGGCGGTTCAAACCCACCAGCCACTCCTCAGAAGGAAGGTTGGGCAATCTACTTCCATAGTGATACTGCCTCGGAAACCCAAGGAGGGGTAACTGTGAGTTGGGTCCAACTTGATGGCACATTACAACAACAACACTTTATATGTGGTTGTTGTTGGGTGCCATCAAGTTGCCTCTGACTCACAGTGACCCTTTATACAACATAGGCCCAGTCCTGTGCCAGCCACACAATCCTTGCTCTGCCTGAGCCCATTGCTGCAGCCACGTGTCAATCCATGTTGTTGAGGGCCTTCCCCTTTTTCACTGACCCTCAACTTTACCAAGCATGATATCCTTCTCCAGGGATGGTCCCTTCTGACAACATGACTGAAGTAGGTGACACCAAGTCTGACCATTCTTGCTTCCAAGGAGCATTCCAGCTACACTGCTTCCAGGACCGGTTTATTGATAGATCACTAAACATTGCAGTGGGTCATCTGACATTTGCCAGGCTGTTGCATCACTGCAGACACATGGGAGGCAACACCTTCTCCTGACGTGTGCACTGGCTGTGGAACTACATGGGTACGGGTGAGGATCCTAGCTCAACTACTAGCTGTGGCCAGCTTATGGAGCCTCTCCTACTTAGCCTCAGTTCCTCATATGGTTAGTGTGAACAGTAGTAGCTCAATGTTGGACTTGAGAGGATTAGTGAGGTGCTGTATGGGAGGTGCTCAGTGTGCTTCTGGAATGTAGTAAGTGTTTAAGAAATGGTGCCTGTTCCTTTGGTGATGGAGGGTAGGGATCGTACATGTCAGTGTACCGGGATTTTCGTCCACCTTGGAGGTCTGTGTAAATGGTTTAAGTGTATGATACAAATATAGGAGGGATAGATAGGCATCATCATAGTAGTTTTATAGTTTCCCAGTTGCCACCGAGTGAGTTTGTATTCAGTGCCCCTGTGTGTCAGAGTGGAGCTGTGCTCTGAGGATTCTCCTGGCTGCATGTTCAGCAGGAGACTGCCAGGCCTTTCTTGTGAGGTGCATATGGGGGACTCGGACCCCCAGCCTTTCAGTCAGCAGCTGAGTGCTTTAACTGTTCCCACCTCCCAGGAACTACACGTGGCTGCTGTGACTTGGAATTGAGTCGAGGGCAGCTGGGTTTTGGTTTATGTGGGGCGGAGATGGCTACTGGGAAGGGCCACCGACCGGGGCTAGAGGCAGGAGGATGAACAGAAGGCCTCCTCTGCCGTGGAACTGTTGGCATGCTGGGCTGCTCACTCAGGAGCGCTGAACAGTTGGAGAGAAGACACGTCTGAGATTTCTGGAGCCAGTTCCAACCAGTCAGCTGCCCTGACCGTCATGACTTGAGCCACAGGTTGTAAATACTATCTTTTCAGACTCAGGGGTGGTGGTGGTTGAGTCTGTAAGCGTGGCTTCTGTCCTCGTAGAGTCTCTGTTTCTAACCTGACTCGGGGGAGGCTGCCGGAGCTGCTTTATGTGTGGTTACTTCCGTCCTCAGCTGTGATTATACAAACACACCCTCTGGAACCTTCCTCTAAATTAACGTTCCATTCTGTGGGCTTCACCCTCTGTGTGAGCTCATCTGACGAGGGGGCTGGCTTCCTCTCCTAGGGCTGCTGTAAGAGAATACCTCAAAGTGGGTGGCTTCCAAGACCATTTATTATCTCAGCTGGAAGTCCGAAGCAGGGTACCAGCCATGTGATTCCATCTCAGCTTTGGGAGGGGAACGGGTCCATCCTCCTTCCTACCTTCTGGAGCCTGGGCAGCCCCAGGCATTCCTTTGCTGCCTGTAGATACGTCTTCACGTGGTGCGCCCCCACCCCACCACCGTGTATGACTCTGTTTCCATGTCTGTTCGTCCCCTTTATAAGATGCCACTCCAAAGGGAGTAGTCACTACTTCAGTGTGTCCTCCTTTGTTGTAACTGAAAACAGAAGGAAAAAAACCTATTGCCATGTGAGGTCAGGTTCAGAAGGACAGGGGCTAGGACATCAGCTCATCTTTTTTCGGGGACACAGTTCATCATGTGTTTGGGAGGGACCAGTCCCCAGAGAAGGACACGATGCTTGGTAAAGTGGAGGGCTAGCAAAGTGAGACGGATAGACACAGTGGCCGCAGCAGTGGGCTCAAGCATACCTGCTACTGGGAAGGTGGCGCGGGACCGGACAGTGCTTCATTCTGCTGTATACGGACTCTCTCGCTGCGAGTTGGAATGCCTCTGCAGCACCTAGCGGCCACAACAATGCTCAGTCCTCAGCAGAAACCCATCTTAGCAGTGCTCTCGAAGGCCCGGGCTCGAGTTCCAGGCCCACAGCCACCAAGCACAGCTCCTCCCACCGTGGGCCTGCAGCCTCGGCCCCACCGGACGCCTGGCCACACTGCGAGGGAAATGGAAGGTGGATGACCTTCAGCTTCAGATTTTGTTTTGAAGTTGAAACCAGGACCAGCTGACCCTGGAGGCTGTTTTGTGGAAGTGTCTTCACGCTCTCTTTTTATCTTGATGTTTTTCACTGAAGTGCTGGGAGAATTCTACTCTTGTCTGTCATTCATATTAAAATAGTCAGTATCCCTGCTCCCGATCTCTTGAAACTCCTTCAGACCTCATTAAAGCCAAGCCCCATCTGTCTTCCCCGGGGGTGAACACCTCTCCTCCCTGCTCCTCCTCCACAGCCTTCCCCCCACCCCCCGCCTCCTTCCTGGGCCCATCTCAGCATCCTGAGCTTTCGACTTTTTCAGTATAAGATGCTTCTGGCTTGCAAATTTGGGGTTTCATCTGCCTTTCCATAGCCATTGAGGCCACACCCTAGCCAGGCTGCCATGACCACATCCCCTTTCTCTCCACTTTCAGCTTCAGGACAATGGAGCATTACAGGAGCTCGTATCTTTGCAGGATCACAGGGCACTGCCCCATTGTCCACCTCCTCTGTGCTCACAACACTCCCATGCTGCTCATGAGGAGGGGAAGACTTGCAGGACCACCTAACTGTCCCCAGGTCACACAGCTGCTATGTGGTGGTGTTGGACCTGAACGCAGACATGACCTCACACTCACTAAAATGCTGCCTGTCGGGATAGAAGGCCAGGGCCACCTGGTCTGCCTCCTCACACCTTCTCAAGCCACGGGGCCCACCACTGGGTGGTTGGAGCTGCAAAAGTCTTGAGTCTGTCGTAGCAGATCCTCAGCCAGGATTGTGATGGTGTCCCCTGGTGAGAAGGGTTCTGCAGAGCTGGGTGAGGCTTTTGGGTGCTGTTCCATGAGGTCATGCATGTGCACAGGAAGGGACTCAGTTAACTCCGGGGCTTTGTCTGTGCCCCCAGCTGAAGACCTAACTGCTTTTCAATGAAAATACTGGATTTTCATATATACTATTGAACATTTCCTATTGAGGAGCCCTAGGAGCTCTGGTGGCATAGTGCCTAAGGCATTTGACTGCTAACCAGAAGGTTGGCGGTTCAAACCCACCAGCCACTCCTCAGAGGGAAGGTTGGGCGATCTACTTCTATAATGATAGTGCCTCTGAAACCCAAGGAGGGTCACTATGAGTTAGATCTGACTCCACAGCCATTGTTGCATTGTTTTGTGTTATTGAGGAGCCCTGGTTAAGCACTTGGCTGCTAACCAGAAGGTCAGTGTTTCAAACCCACCAACCACTCTGCAAGAGGAAGGTGAGACAGCCTGCTTCCATGAAGACTGACCACCTTGGAAACTCTGTGGGGCAGTTCTGCTCTGTCCTCTAGGGGCGCTGTGAGTCAGAATTGACTCACCCACAATGGTTTATTTTATTGTGCTTTTAAAACCAATACTCACAAAACCATCAGCTCACTTTATTTTGCTTATGACAAGAGGGTAGGATCTATTTTTTGTCACAAAACCAGAACCTTACGTGTTTCTCCTGGCCTCCCGCAGCGCCCCATCATCTCCATCTGCTGGGGCCACCGAGACTCACGGCTGCTCATGGCGTCAGGACCGGCCCTGTACGTGGTGCGTGTGGAGCACCGAGTGTCCAGCCTACAGCTGCTGTGTCAGCAGGCCATCGCCAGTGCCCTGCGAGAAGACAAGGACGTCAGCAAGCTGAGCCTGCCCCCCCGCCTGTGCTCCTACCTCTCCACGGCCTTCATCCCCACCATCAAGGTACCACCGACTCCCATCCGCCTGCTCGCCTTCCTCCCTGCACAGACGGGCTCACCTGGGGAAGGGCAGAGCACTCACAGGAACCTGGCCACTCGACAGGAGCCGCTGGGCAGCGGAGGCGTGTGGCTGAGTGTTCCGGCACGTTCTCCCACAGGTGCAGTGTGTCAGCATCACGGTTAGAGTCCATAGGGGGCTGACCTCAGTGCCGGAAGTTCTCTTTCCAGGGCAAGGGCTGCATCCCAAGCTTGATTGCTATGCCGCCCCGGTGATGAAAGTTGTGGGCATATAGTCAGCGTTTGATGATGAGGTTGGCGCAGGACCGGGCATTGTCACATTCTGCTGTATATAGAGTCACTATGCATCAGAATCGACTCAACGGCGCCTTACAACAGTTAGCATTGACTGATGCCAGGCACAACACTGAGTACTTTGGAAGGCTCTATCTTCAGATACAGGCGGATGCTGCCTTTGTTCCTTTAGAGAGGACAGGACACATGTTTGTAGACGTCCCACTGCTGGTGTGGTCAGGATTTGAACCCAGTACGACTCGAGAGCCTGCTGTCCCCCGCTTAGCACACCCATCACCATCTGTCTGCCGTGGTAGCGACAGAATCTGTCAGTTACGGCTCAGGGATGGCTGTGCCCTTCACGCTGGGCCCTCCACCTTTTCTGAATCCTCTCCCTCCTTCTAAGTACCAGACAGATTTTTGGTTACAGAAAATAGCATTTTTTTGAAACACCAGAGTTTTAGAATCTGATGTGACTTTTTTTTCCCAGTTCCCTTAAAATTTTGATTCTTCACTAGTAAGTGTCAGCCCCAGCTGCGTGTTAGAACCACTTGGGGGCTTTTTGAAAATGCAGATGCCCAGGCCCCACCCCAGGGGTTCCGGTTGAGCTGTCTGGGTGGGATCTTTGCTTAAACTCATTATTGTCGAGTCAGTTGCAACTCATAGCAGTTCCTCCTTGGGTTTCCGAGGTGGTATCTCTAGATTGTCCAACCTCCTTCCAAGGAGTGCCTGGGGGGTTTGAACTGCTGGCAGTCTGGTTAGCAGTCAAGTGCCTTAGGTACTTAGGTGTATGTAAAAGTGCAGATGCCTAGGCCCCACCCCAGGGGTTCCGGTTGAGCCATCTGCTGCAATCCTGACTGAGGTGAGTTTGAAAGCTCCCGGGAGATCCAGGATGCACCCAGAATTGGGAATTGCTCTCCACCACGTCCATCTCTCCCTGGGCTCCCAGCCAAACCTCTGCCACAGTGGCCTGTCCATGCCCGCTCTCATCCTCACAAGCCTCATCCCTTCCTTTTCTTCCTGTCCACCTGCAGCCCCCGATTCCAGACCCCAACAACATGCGGGACTTTGTCAGCTACCCCTCGGCCGGCAACGAGCGGCTGCACTGCACCATGAGACGCACAGAGGATGACCCCGAGGTGGGCGGCCCCTGCTACACGCTCTACCTGGAGTACCTGGGTGGGCTGGTGCCCATCCTCAAGGGACGGCGCGTCAGTAAGCTGCGGCCAGAGTTTGTCATCATGGACCCCCGCACAGACAGCAAAGCAGGTGGGTGACCTGCTGCACGCAGTGGGGCAGAGCGAGCATCACAGCCCGAGAGACAGCACCTGTGCTTGAGCCGCGAGCCTCATTGGCAGAGGCAGGTGTTCTTCCCAGTCTGACCTTCTGATGCTTGGATACTTTCTGACAGTGCCTTCTGTAAGGCACCACAAGCCTGGGTGTGGGCAGAGGAAACATGGCTCTCAGGCAGGGGATGCCGGCCAGGCCTTCTAGGAAGGATAGCACCTTCATCCTTTTCTTTGGCAAGGATTCATGGGGCGCCCAGTGCAGTACCAAGACCACATGCAAGGAACAGTGAGCCACTCTCTGTCCCCGCCCTGCTCCTGCCCTCCTCAGCCAATGACACGGGATGTTCACAGGCCCAGCCTGCTCCTCAGGGCCCTGTGTCATCTTGACACTGCCCCCGCTAACCCCCAATGACTGCCTTTTAGCTGGTTGGCAGTGAAAACCCCTGCGCGTCCGTACCAGTCTTGACGTGGTAGATCACCCCTTCTAAAGCTGTCCGTCACTCCGTTGCTGTGTGCGTGTCGCTCACTGCGTTGCCACGTTGGGTGTGAGCTGGTCAGCCTCCAGACAGAGGGCCTTTGTTCTTTTTCTCCATGCCACTTAGTGCTAGCTTATTGTCTCCGGCCCGTATCTGCATAAGCTGACCACGTGAGCACTGTGGCTCCCCATGACATCCTCCCTGCCACCCACAGCAGAATGCACAGCCCTGTCCTCGGTGTCCAGCTGGGTGCACACGGTCATTGCACCGGGGCTCTGTCTGCCCTGTGAGTCTGAGGGCACTTAGGGAAAACTGGGTGCCTGGCAGCACCTGAGCAGGTGCGGCTCTGGGTGGGTGAGCTTGGCTCTCATTGGCAGGTCCTCACTCTCCTCCCTCCCATCCACTCGTCACCTGTCAGACCGGCCTCTGCTCTGTCCTAGCCCCAAACCTGCCATCAGCAACATGGCCACGCAGGGGCCTGCTCTCTGACGCCCTCGCCTGCCCCCTCCAAGGCCTCCCACAGCTGGCCCACTGCTCCTCCAGCCTTGGTCCGCGTCTTTGGCAACAGTCACCTGGCAGGATTTGGGGTAACACGGAAAGTGGTAAAACTGCCGTTTTCACAGGTGGGCCCTAGTGAGAGTTTCTGTCTTTTGAGGCAACAAACTAGTAGCAAGAACAGAGAGCGAGAGGAAGAGTGGGGCAGATTCAGAAGGCAGGAAAGGCAGAGAAGCAGAACCTAGAACAGCGGGCGAAACTGATGCAGAGAGGGGGATAAGACGAGCCGCCGAGGGTGGGCGGGACTGAGGAGGGCAGTGAGTGGGGAGGGGCCGAACAGGGCCGTCGCTGTCACCCGACGGCACCGCTGCCGCGGTTCCTCCCACGCGGGGTATCGTCAGCTGTGCAGTTGGCCTGACTGCCGGCGGCCCCACACACCCCGAACGATGCCCGGTTCTGCGCCATCTCCGTGGTCAGTGGCAGCTCAGACCATTGTGCTCCGTGGCATCTCCACAGGCCGGTTCTCGGCAGCAGGTCACCAGGCCTTTCTCCCTGGTCTTTCTCAGTGTGGGAGCTCCGCTGAAACCTGTTCAGCATATAGCGGCACTCAGGCCTGCAGTGAGGTGGCGGTGGCTGCATGCGGAAGGGCGTAGTTTGCCCCGAACCCTCAGTCCCCAAAGACCAGACCAGCCCAGTGCCTGCCCTCGTCATCCTAAACCCCTTCCTCTGTCCCTTATTTTAACATCTATCAGCTGAGATCAAACACAGATCGAATCAGGTGCTAAGAAGCCTTTGAGGAGCGAGGTGTTTCCGTTTTATAGTGTTCACAATTAAAAGAATTAAAAGGCTATAAAACAAAGCCAGCAGACAAGTCTGCATGCCCGTGCCTCCTTCGGAAGGAGCTCAGTCTCCTGTGGTCCCTGGGGCAGGAGTGAGCAATAGCAGGCGCTCGGTTTGCGTGGAGTTTAAAATCCATTCCGGTGATGAGACAACTGAAACCCTTAAAGGTCAGTGAAAAAGTCAAGACTTGAGTACTTCAAGACAAAACGAGAAGATGGTTTTCCTATTCGGCAGAGTCTGATTGCTGACCCAGTGATGTACAGACACCGGGTCAGAGGGGGAACGAGCCCTGATTCTGAGGTGCCAGAAATCCCCCATCCCGCAAAGCCCTGGGTCCTGCCCCTCACTGGGCCAGGGCCTGCCTCTGCACACATCACCTCAATGCTTTCTGAATGCTCGATGCATCTTTTAGAAGTAGGTATCAGCCCCAGGACAGTCCACTCTCTGGGGTTGCAGCAGGAGACAATTTGAAAAGTCATTATTAGTAAAGGAAAAGAAGCAGTTTAGGGCATGTCATTCACGAAATCCCGTCAGGAAACATGAAGTCAGCCGGGCAGGTGGGGCAGGGTGGAGAGGAAGTCAGCCGAGAAGCGAGGCCTGGTGGGTTTCTTCAGGCCGCAGTGGTACTGGTCAGATGGCACACCAGGGTGTGTGGACTCAGTGTGTGTCTGAATTGGGTGGAGGTTCACTTGGTCCGTGAGCCTCAAACTGAATGGGACCAAGCTCTGCTCAGGGTCCCCAGGTGCTGGAACGCAGACCCGGTCGCACACTGGTGCGTGAGTCATGTGTCTGGTCTGGTGAGTGGTCCCCTAGCTGGGTGACGTCGGCAGCAGTCTTGGTGACACGCTGGCTGCCCCCAGCACATCAGAAAGCCCCTCACAGAGGGTCCTCCATGCGCGCAGGAGCTCCGAGGTCCGTGTGGACTCCCCACCTCTTCCTCCCCAGTGTGAATGGCCCTGGTGAATGATAACCTCACTCACTCCCCGTCCTTAAGTTACACTGGCCGACTCAGCTCTTACTTCTCAGAAAAGGCCTTGGAGCCTTGAAGGGACAGAGTGTTGTCAGTATGACAGTGGTTCTGAAAAGCAGGGTCCTCCCCTGGGGAGACCTGGGCTGGGGCAGAGACTTTGGGTCCAGCTGGTGGAGGGACAGGAGAGCACCGGGGCAGGAGAAGGGGTGTCCTGGAGGATGCTGAGGTACCTCTCACCCCTCCGCAGCTTTGTGAGGGCCCCGCCTCTTCCCTGCTGTCTCATGGCCTGTTGACACACGTGTCTTGAGTGGCAGCGTGTCTCCTGGGCACCCAGAGCTCCTTCTGGATGGTTCCCCTACATAGGTCCCCTTCCGGCCAGACCCCGCCCCCCTCAGCAGGCAGCCCCTGGGGTGGAATGGCCAGCCGCACTGGTGATCTCGCAGCAGCTGGGGCAGACAGGTACCGTCCCAGCTGCTCCCAGCCGGCAAACCTGAAGCGCACCAACGCTGTGAGGACTCGAGGCCTTGCAGCCCAGGCCAGGTCAGAAGCAGGTTCTTGGGAAGCCCATGAGAAGTCCACCCCTCGTGTGGCCTAGAAGCCCTCACGAGCCCAGGGGGTGCTGGTGGATCGTGACACACCACCACAGCACAGCCACCCCGTTTCAGCTCCGTTCAGCCAACAGTGTCAGATCGTGTGTACGTTCCCAGCAGCACTCAAAACGCCACATCCATTCTGACAGCAGGAGAACTAATTGCCTAATTGGCTTAGAAAACCTAACAGCATAAAAGTCAAAAACAGAACAACACTCTGCACCTTTACAGGTGCAGCGGCGGCCTGTGGAGTTGGCTGTCCTGGAGTTCACAGTGGTGTCTTTGTCAGGGTCCCTTAGGTTTGCCCGTTGCTGTGTCTCACCAGATGAGATCTATGGCAGCAGCTTGATCTCCACCGTGGTCGACAGCTGCAACTGCTCCGACTCCAGCGACATTGAACTCAGCGACGACTGGGCTGCCAAGAAGTCTCCCCGAGCGTCCAGAGCCAGCAAATCGCCTAAGCTCCCCAGGTAGGCTCGGGCTTCAGGGCGCTCTCCCCGTATTGCAAACTCAGTGCCTCTGGACACGTGGCAGGGTGTGTGCCTGCCACAGAAGCCCTGGTGCTGACACCAGAGGGACGCGGCCGGAGGAGTCTGTAACTCAGAGGCAGGGAGTCCTTCCCTGGGGATGGCCTGCTTTGGGCGCACACAGGGTCTCAGTGCCTGAGCTCCTCAGTGTTATCTCCCTGTATGTATCAGGTCCTCCTCCCTCTGGTCTTAGCTCACATTCCATCTCTGGATGGGACACAGGCTTGTGTCTGAAAACGTAGCTTCCCTTAGCTCAGGCCCCCACCCTCTTCCTGTGCCCTGGGAGCCCTGGATTCCCTCCGGCCAAGCTCCCAGTCCACGTGAGTGAGGCATGATGCGTTTCTCCCATAGGATGCTGTGCACTTTGCCATCTCCGTTTTTATAATGCACACTTGAGAAAACTGCTGTTAAGCACATATCCCCATGGTAGAGGAGAAGGAACTGAGGGCTACAGAGCATGAGATCCAAGGGCAGCCGCACGACTGTGCTTGCTGGTTTTGTTTCACTGTATTGCAGGCAGTGAGTGCTAGTAAGCCTGCTGGAATCAGAACTGTGGACTAAGGAATCATTGTAAAAGCACTGTGGTCTTAGGCTGAGAAGGGCCCCTTCCCTGCAGCATAGTGGTGAAGGCGTTGGGCTGCTAACCAAGAGGTCGGCGGTTTGAACCCACCAGCTGCTTTGTGAGAGAAAGATGAGCCTTGGAAACCTTCTGGGGCAGTTCCACTCTGTCCTCTAGGGGCACTGTGAGTCAGAATCAACTTGACGGCAGTGGGTTTGGGTTTTGTTTTTGGCAGACAGCACATGGGCACAACTGCATTTGCTATATATCATTCAAGAGCGAAAGACTGTTTATTGTCTGGCATTCCCTACAAACGCACTGCTGGCCTCCTCTGCGTGTTTGTCACGTGTGCTGTAGCCCTCACATTCCCTCCTCATGCTCATGGAGCAGACGCAGGGCCCCTGCCACCAGGGACTAGCAGCTCTGGTCCCTGAGACACAGACGCACTGAGGACGCAGACCCACTGAGGACGCACACGGGGCCTGCTCAGCCAGGGAGGGCAGGGGCTCCGAGGCGTGGCACCTTTGGACGCTGCCACCGTGGCCTCCCCTGCGGGGGCCCAATCCCTGGCCTGTCACTACAGGATCAACATCGAGGCTCGGAAGTCCCCAAAGCTGTCCCGGGCCGCGCAAGAGGTCTCCCGGTCCCCCCGCCTGCCTATGAGGAAGACCTCCATTGGCTCGCCCGGCCTGACACGGAGAGAGATTCCCTTTGAAGACATCACTCAGGTGGGGCCAGCACCACCCCGGGTTTCACACATCCCTCACACCCTCCACCTGCCCTTCCTGGCAAACCTGACCCGCCCTGGTCTCTCCACCCCGTTCCTACAGGATTTAGTCCAGCAGCTTGTGGGGAGATGACAGGGCCCCTGCCTCCTCGCTGCCATTCCTCCTGCAGGCCCAGGCCTCTGTACTACCTCCTTCAGCATCTGAACGTGTGTGTGTGGATGTATGTGAATGTGTGAACGTGTGTGTGATCATGTATGTGTGTGTGAACATGTTTGTGCATCAGTGTGTGGATGAGTGGATGTGTATGTGTGAACATGGGTGTGAGTATGTGTGTGTGAATAAAAAAAAAAAGACTCACTGCTGTCGAGTCAGTTCCAACTCATAGTGACCCCCTTTGGGTTCCTGAGGTGCTAAATCTTTACAAAAGTAGATTGCCCAGTCTTCCTTCTGAGGAGTGGCTGGTGGGTTCGAACCACCAGCCTTCTGGTTAGCAGTCAAATGCTTTAGGCATTACACCACCAGAGCTCCTATGTGTGTATCTAAATGTGTTTGTGTGTGTGTGTATGTGATATGTGCGTGTGTGAATGGGTATATGTGTGTGACTGTGTCTATGTGAATTAGGAATGTGTGTATGTGTTGTGTGTGTATACATTTACACAATAGATGCGTGCCTTGTACCTCATGCTAACTTTACTTTTTTTTAATTAACTTGAATGAAAAGACAACTAACTGGGCAGTTTCCGGCACAGTGGTTTTAGGGCAGCTGATGTCTCAGGACAGAGAGCAAGGACAGAGGGTAGAGATGAATTCTGTCAGGGAGCTTCTCTCGTCTGGTGACTGGGGCAAGGTGAGGTGAAGAAAATTGCACCCAAATCATTTTGGTGGCCTTTTCAGACTTCACACATGTGGAACACATGGGGATACCCCCTCACTGCCATCCTCAGAGTCACAGCTCGGTGGGCCGCCATTTAAAGTGGGTGTCTGACTGCACCTCACACCGGCAATGTTGGACAGAGGGAGCAACATGGTGATAGTCTGCGTCTAGTCTTAGGGTGGTGGCGTGCGGGAGGGAGAGAACATTCTGGAAATACCCCTGAGGGGTGGTGTGTGAGATTGCTGAGGCATTTTATGTTTGCCCCTGTGGATTTTTGAGCACCAAGGTCAGCATTCTCCTGTGTGACTGGTGGGATCTTGTGACGGTCTGTGAACATCCTTTTCTTTCTTTTCCTCCCACAGCACAACTACCTTGCTCAGGTCACGTCTAATATCTGGGGAACCAAGTTTAAGATCGTGGGCTTGGCTGCCTTCCTGCCAACCAACCTTGGTGCAGGTGAGCACCCCTCCTGTCTGCTCCCTGCTGCTGCAGTTTGAGCTCAGACTGAAGCGCCGGCCAGTGGCGGCCTTCAGTCAGTGTGGAGAGCACACTCTGACGACAGCAGATCAGAGCGGCCTTCCTTTCAGACCGACCCCCAGCCACTAAGTCCACAACAATGAGGATTCTCCCTTCATGTGGTTTATTTGACAGCAGTGCTTTGATTTTTCAGCACAAACCCTGACTTAGAAAACTAACAAATCTCTGCGGAAGCTCTGGCAGACTTGTCGATCTGTTAGCTTCTGGGCCTTTGACTGTGGGCAGGTCTCAGTCCCCACGTCCTCAGGTTTTTAAATCAAAGAAAAGTCAAGAACGTTTGGGAGACTTGAAGGAGAGGCTGGCTGGCTGTTAGTGCAGCTCTTAGTGGTAAATCTTGATGGATCTCATTTATAATACCAGATAAATATCTGGTCCATGACAGGATTGAGATGGAGGAAAAACTGAGCCAAGGAAGCCCAAAGCTGAGCTGGACCCAGAATCTAGACACACTGTGGCCTCCTCTGTCCTCCCACCCAGATGAACAGTACTAACTGCTCACAGTCACCTTTGAGACAATGAAGAGGTGGACATGGCAAAAGATCCTTTATAAAGCAACTTGGCTCTGATGGGTGAACCCATTTGGGATGAGGAGTGTGCTGCTCACCACGTCTTCCTGGGTTGCACGTCTTCTACCTTAGCAGGTAGTGTGCCCCGTGGCTGGCAGCCTCCATCTTGAAAGTGCTCTGGGTAACCTACTGAAAGTGGCCTTTGAGAAAGAGTGTTATTTCACACACAATTGGTGGTAGTGTTGGGGGCTCTGAAGTCAGTTCCAACTCACGGCTTAGCGACTCCATGCGGCAGAAGGAAGCGTTGCCCATCCTGCGCCATCCTCACAGTCATAGCTATATTTGACCCATTGTTGCAGCCATTGTGCTTATTCATCTTGAAGGTCTTCCTCTTTTTCGCTGACCCCCTGGTTTTCCAGGCCTCATGGCCAAAGCAGCATCGATGCATTGGAGCGATTATGTTGGTGAAGAACATTGACTGTACCACAGACCACCAGAACGAACCAATCTCTCTTGGAAGAAGCATAGCCAGAGTCTCCTTAGGAGCAAAGATCTGACCCATGACTTCTTTTTTCCCCCTTATATGTCTCACTTCCTTTGGACATGTCATCAGGAGGGACCAGTCCCTGGAGAAGGACACAGTAATGCACAATTAGATCCTTTGAGATAAATGATTCTAGCACAGCAGTTGTTAAAAAGAACTGTTGCTACATGTGCATTTTCAAGAGACTGATGCTGTATTTGGATTTTTCATTGGAGGTTTCTCAGCTCAAAAGGAGGGATAAAACATGACCCTGACTTAGTGAAGTACCTTAGGCCATCTCTCTGTAAGAGCAAAGAAAGACTCAGAACATTCTCACCAAACTGGACACTGTCTGATGACCATAGAACCCATTGTCCAATCACCAAGTGATGACCATAGACCCCACTGTCCAGTCACCCAGTGATGACCGTAGAACCCATTGTCCAGTCACCCAGCGGTTCTCTCTTGATGGGCACACTTGATGTCAGTAACCACTATTTGGGCTCACAATTATCCCGTCAGTAAGCTGAACCTTAGCCACCTGCCTACAGCACATACTGAGGAAAGGAATGGAAGTGAGAGTTTTCTTAGTGGGTAATTCATTCCACCCTCTCATCTTGGCTGTGGCGATGACCCTCAGAGAGCCAGCAGGGGTTTTAAGAGGGGAGTGCCTGTGTGAGGCACAGACTGCTCCAGCAGGAGTGATTTGAGCGCCCAGGACAAAAGCTTTCTGTGTGACAGCAACGAAATCATTGTCCTAGTTGGTGACCTCTTTTTGAAAGAGTGCTTTGATCTATATAGTTTGATCTGTTCATTTGTAAAGTGAAAAGAATTTTCCACTTGATCCTACTAGAGAAAAGAAATTAACTCTTGGTTTCTAGAAGGTTCTGGGGTGCCCCCACTAAATAATCTTTTCAAAGACATGTGATACTCCCGTGGACTTTACAAGTGACTTCTGTTCCCCATACTGAATAATTTGTTTCCTTCTATTATAAGATCTGACCCATGACTTCTTTTTTCCCCCTTATTTTTTTACATTTCCTAACTTTGTAAATATGTGATAGATTCAAAATTCAAAAGATTCAAAGAGGTATATGGGCAAACGTCTCTCATTCTCACCCCTGGCTGCCCAGTTTTCTTCCCTGGAGGTAACTGAGTTGATTTTTCTTTGAATCCCTCCTGAGACATTTTCTTTCCTTGCTCTTTGTGCATGACAAAGACTAGCAC